ACACATATGTAATATCTTAGTCAATAAAGAAAATTAAAATAAATCAATAAAAAGCTCCTGGAGGCCGGAGAGCAGGCCTGGCTGGCTCCCCAGGGAATCTCGGAGTTGTCAGATGGCCGCGAGCAAATGGTTTCACTTCCCTGAGCCTCAGTTTCCACATCCATCACCAGGGCTTCGTAGAACCTGCTTCCTAGGGCTGATGTGAGGATCTGTGAGGACACCTGCAGGGCCTGGCACACAGGAAGCGCTTCACAAATGACACATAATATAATGGGACACCTGAGATTGGGGTGCTTGGGGTGGGGTTTGTCTCAGCTCCATGGAGACCCCACTGCCTTGTTCCCCAAAGAAGAGCTGCGCTGAGAGGAGCTCCCCCACCCCCCCCACCCCCGTTACCACGAATTGCTCTTACCATCTCTGACCTGGAAAACCTGCCCGAATCCTGCCTCCGGGAGCCAACTTTCTGCTCTGGCCTCCTCACTTTTTTTCTCAAGATCCTGCCTTTGATCTGCCATCCTGGCACAAGCCTTGGCCAAAAGCTTTGTTGTGGGGAGCCGGCACGGCCATGGCATACTCATGCCAGCTTAGCCCGGTTCAGTGACCCTGAGTGGGGGCGATGAAAGGCTTAGAAAAGACAGACAAGAGAATGAAAGCTGGGTCTCGGTGGGACGCTGCTCCTCTGATGGAGAGACGGGCCAATGCCCACAAGCCGTGTCTTTATTTTATAGCAGATGCCACGAGGCAAAGTAGGGGCGTGACCAAGATGTTTACAACATTCTCGTGGGTTTCAGTCCCACTCAACTACATGCACCTGAACTCTGTCACTCAGGCACGTGGGGCCACGTGTTTGGACCATAGGTTCAAGCTCACAGCTATAGCTGTTGGCTATAATTGTGCTGGGAGGGCTCTGCCCTCCAAGCTGGGACTTGCACGTGGCCATGAGAGGACTGTGCCTTCTCATCAGTCCTAGGTTTGACCCTGTCCAAACACCGTAGCGGCGCCCCACACTTTGTCCCCCTCCACCCTTCTGGTTAAAAAAAAAAAAATCCTAACTACAGTGAGATACTGCTTTACACCCGCGAGGATGGTAATTCTCAAAACAATAACAACACAGAAAATGAGGTGTTGGTGAGGCTGTGGAGCAGTTGGAACCCTGTGCACTGCTGGGCGGCCTGTAAGATGGTGCGGTCGCTGTGGGAAACAGAATGGTGGTTCCCCAAAAACTAAACTTAGGGTTACCACACCATGCAACAACCTTACTCCTAGGCATATACCCCACAGAGCTGAGCAGCGGCCCGGACACGTATCTGTACATCCGTGCTCACGGCAGATTGTGCACAATAGGCAGTGGTGGGAGCAACGCAGGTGCCCATGAATGGATAAGCAAAATGTGGTCTGTCCAGACATTACTCACTACCCTTCAGCCCTAAAAAGACGGACATTCTGCCTGGCCGGCGTGGCGCAGGGGTTGAGGGTGGACCTATGAACCAGGAGGTCACGGTTTGATTCCCAGGCAGGGCACATGCCTGGGTTGCAGGCCCGATGCCCAGTGTGGGGTGTGTGGGCGGCAGCTGATTGATGATTCTCTCTCATCACTGATGTTTCTATCTCTTTCTCTCTCCCATCCTCTCTGAAATAAATATATAGATAGATAGATATTTTAAAGAAGAAGGAAATTCAGGACATATGCTGAGTGAAATAAGCCAGACAGAAGGACAAATATACTGTATGATTCCACTTACAGGAAGTCCCTAGAGCTGTCAAATTCGTAATCAGAAAGTAGGACGGTGGGTGCCAGGAGCTGGGGGAGGGGAGGGGAAGTTCATGTTTAAAGGGGACAGCGTTTCAGTGTTACAAGATGCAAAGTGTCCTGGAGCTGATGGTGGTGACGGCGGCACAGCAGCGTGAATGTGCGTCATGCCCCCAAACTGTGCATTTTAAAATGGTAAATTTAATGTTATGTACATTTTACACAATTAAACATTTTAAAATAGAGAAAAAAATCCTGAAACACAAGTGATTAGTTACTAGCAGCCCCAGGAGAAGCCGGGGATCTGGTAACACCGTGGACCCCCTGGGCAGAGGTAGAATATCGGTGTCAGATGGATGGACAGACAGACAAATAGGTGGGTGGAGGGAGCGTCTAAAGAGCCAAACTGGCTAGAGCTGGCACTGAGGCGGCGCCTGGTAAGAGTGGGGGCCCGGGACCACATTGGAGAAGGGGCATCTTGCTAAAGCCCCTGGTATTCCTGGGGGCTGGGGGTGGGGGGGATGTCTGGTCTGCATACCCCAATGGGCGTGACGGGTGGATAGACAGATGGCCCCCACCATCTGGGACCAGGCCATCAGGTGGGCAGCTGCAGGAATGACATCCAGGTATGATGCCAGCCCCTAGCGTCCACGGTGGTGGGTCCCAAGGGTAGAAGCTCATGGCTTTGCTGGGCCCGGGGGCTTCCCAGGCTGGTCACTGGTTCCCAAGTCTTCTCTGAGCCCCTTGCCCATCCCAGCCAATGCCCTGCCCTTTAGTGCCCTCAAAAACCAGGGGAGGAGGGGTGCTGTCCTCAGCCCAGTTCCCCTAAAACCAGCACTGCTCAGGTCGGAGATGCCCATTTCCACAGGCATCAAGTCCGTCTAGGGAGAAAGTTAGGTGCTTCTTGTCTAGCCCTCGCCTTGATGCTCAAGGGGTGAGGCCCAGAGAGGGGAGGGGACAGGCCCAAGGTCACCCATGCCTGATAAGGCGTTCACTCCTAGAAGCAGCTCTGTCCCCTGCCTGTCGGCACCCCATAACTGCACCTGGATGGCTGGGAGTCCACCAGCCCCGCCCTGACAGCCTGGGTGCTCCTGCCTCACCCTCTTGCCTGGGCCTGGGTCCAGCGGGGTTTCCCTGCTCTGCCCCACTCACTCCGGAGCCTGAACCCACACTGTACCTGCCATGCGGACGGCCCGATGTCCAGGAGCAGCCCTGCTCAGTCCGTCCCTGCCGGCCGGGGGCGGGGTGGGCGGGGGTGGTCAGCCACTCCTGGTCTCCTGGTTCATTCGGCGCACAGCCCGGCTCTCAGGTGCTCACTCCGTCCTCGGTCTCCTGGCAGGACTGTCCTTCCCTCCTCAGTCGCCCGGGCCTTGGTTTTACACCTGGTCTCTGCGGGTGGGACCTGGCCGTGGGCTATGCAGGCCCCTTTCTCCACGCCACCTCACGCAATCTGTCTGAGGCCACTGCCAGGCTGGTCCTGCCCTGGGCGGCGCATGTGGGAGGAGGGCAGGTGGGGAGGCTCTGACGTGGCAAAGCCTCCCTCTCCCCCTACCGGTCCCCCTCCTGGCTCCCTCCCTTCCCCGGCTGGGAGCCCCCAGCCATTCCCGATCAATGGCCCAGGCACAGAGTGGGGGCCTACCTTGAGGACGAGCTGGGTGGTCCGCAGGGGCCCAGGCCTGGCTGACTGGAGGGCTGGGGCCGATGGGGCCTCGGGGAGGTTGGAGGCCAGGGCAGTGGCAGTAGCACCAGGGGCTGCATGGTAGGGCAGGGGCCTCTCACCAGGACCCAGACCCCTGGCCTGGGGCTGCTGGGGTGGAGTCAGGGGCAGCTGGAGCAGGAAACTCAGGGGGCGGCCGGAGCAAGAGCTGCAGAGACAGCCCCGCTTGGGCGGGAGGGAGCCTGTGCTCCCCCTGGTTTGGCCCAGTGAGCTGTGCGACACTGGCAGGTCCCTGACAGCCCTGTGCCTCGCTTTCCCCAACTGAACTAGGTGCATAATCTCTTCTGCCTGGGATGGCGGTAAGCCGGCCCCGCCCTGGCTGAGGATGGGAGGCTGGCCCAGGGCGAGGCCAAGGGGTCTGGCGCGGCCCAAGGGTCTGTCTATTCTCTCCAGACAGACCAGGTACCGTCTCCAGGCTGCCCCCTGCTGGGCATTCAGGGGACACACAACCACTGGCCAGGAAGGCAGAGGGTGTGAGGTCCCCCGAAGCTGGCTGCTCTCAGTTGAGAGTGCTCTTTGGCCATTTGGTCCCTTCCACAGGGCCCAGAAAGGGGCACCGGGCTGGACCCCAGGTTAGCCCACTGGGAGGGAGCGTCCCAGGCTAACCCCCAGGCCAGAGCACCCCAGGCTGGGCTGGGCATGCTCCACCCAGGCCAGCTCCTCCTCCAGAGTGTGGCACTGGGGTTGGCAGAGGCCCATACCTGAGGGGCCGGCAGTGGGAGGGGCTGCTCCTCCCAGAGCCTCGAGCCGCAGGCCCACCTCTCCTCCCTCAGCTCAGGCACCCCTGCTGCTCAGTCCCTAGGTCCCCATGCCTGCCTGCCGAGCCCTGAGGGGTCCTGCAGGGTGAGGGTGGGCCCAGCCCTGGGGGAAGGCTGCGCTGGCTCTGGGGTTTGCTGCTGGGCAAGATGGGAGGGAGTTCTCTGTGCTTGTGATGCAGGGTCCCAGCGGCATCCAGGGGCCGCCCTGAGGTAGGGCCATGCCACCCTGACCCAGGATCCGCAGTGGGTGGAGTGGGAGGTGGGACTGATGATGGGGGGACCTGGTAGCTCCCTCTCGGCCCGGACCTGGGGCGGGCCAGCCTGGGGTTCTTTTTGTGTGTTGGCGTGTGTGTGTGTGGTGGTGTGTGTGTGTGTGTGTGTGTGCGCGCGTGCGCGTACTTGTACACACCTTGGTCTGTGTATTGGGAAACACCCCCACACGTGAACATGACCACACTGACATGCCAACCCACATCACACACATGCACACAGATACCAACCTGCCACCACCTGGGTTCACACGTGCACGAGCTCCTGTGTGCACAGACACACGCTCACACACCCACCCCCCATGCACGCACACCAGGCACACACGCACTCCTCCCTGCACAGCCCCTCCCGGCTGGCCAGCCCTTCCTGCCGGAGGCACCTCCTGGCCCCCTGCCCCCTCATCCATCTTGCCTGCCAGCCCGTCCCTGGCGTCCCCGTATCCTTCACACCTTCTCATCTCGCTGCTCAATAGCAGGAGGCGGCGTGGCAGCTGTGGCCGCGGGGAGATGGATGGGCCGGGCGGGGTGTGGAGGGGCCAGGGAGGATGCCTCGAGAGCACGGAGCTCAGGCCCTACCAGCCCCGCTGTCAGTAGGAGCCATGCCCTGCCGGCTCAGGCGGGTGTGGGCTCTGTGGGGCTGCGCTCGGGCCGTCCACCCTCCCCATTCTGCCTGCCACGGACAGTGTGGCCAGGACCCAGGGACCCCAGCGGTAGTCCCGGGGCACACTCCTGCCCCTGTGTGCCTGCACCTGGACCTGTGGGCCTGGGTGGAGAGAGCTCTGTCGAGCTGCACGCCTTCCACAGCCCTGACTCTCCTGAGCTCTCATGAGCTCATGACACACCTGGAAACGCACATGGGGCTGTGCGCCCATCACATGCAGATCCTCCCAGAACAGCCAAGGCACTGGTTCTCGGAAACACGTGCACACACAGCACCTGGGGCGGGCATACAGATGGGCACCCACACACGTGGCCACACACTTCTGCTCTCCTAGCCGACCCTCTGGCCCCAGGAGTGTAGGAAGTTGGGGACCCTCCTCTGGTCATGGCCTCCGGAAGCCCTTCTGCTGGTTCGAGGACAGTCTTTCTCAGTTTCCCTCACAGTATAGGATCCTCCCTGGACAAGCATGGGCACAGAGACAGCTACCACTGGCCCCAGGACACACAGCATGTCCAAGGCCAGACGGGGCCAGACTTGCCCCAGATCCTGAGGCCACAGAGAGGCACCACACAAGATGGAGGACACAAACCATGGACCCCTGGACATCTTCCCCTTTATAGAATGGGAAACTGAGGCAGGGAGGTGGGAGGGTGTGGCAAGGATCATGGTACATAGAAGGTGGCAAGGGGACCTCTGAGCTGGGGATCATGCCTCAGGTGGGAGGCTGAGGCCGGGCAGGTGTGGCCTGGGTTAGGGAGCTGGGGAGGGGGCGGGGGCCAGCCCGGGCAGGGCGGGCACAGAGAACGTGAGCTTCTCCGTCTGGAGGAAGGCAATGCCCTTCTCGTAGTAGGCGGCCTCATTGATGAACACGGGGTACACAGTGGACTCCCCTTCATAGAGCACGTCCTTGCCGCTGCACATCTGGAAGATGGGTGCTCCAGGCCTCAGCGGCTCGAAGTCTCGGTCCTGGGAGGACAGTCAAGGGCCAAGGGTGCTGGGGCTGACCTCTGCCCTGGCCCCAGTGGGGGTGACCCCAGCAGGGACTGTCCAAGAGACGCCCCTCCCTTAGGGCCTCACCCACTCACTCCTTCACTGCCTTCATCAATATGACAGAGCGTCTACCAAGATGCCAACTGGCCCTGTGTCTAGAAATGGAGACACCAGTCACCTTAGAAGACGTTTGTCCTTGCGGAAGTGTAGGCTAGTGGTTACAGGCACAGATAGGAAAGCCTCGGTGCAAATTCTTGCTAGCTGTGTGATCTGGAGCAAGTCACTTAACCTCTCTGTTCTCAGCCTCCTCAGCTTTAAAATGGGGATTATACTCTCTCCTCCTATCACCCTGAGGTTTAAATTGAATGGCTAATAGCGCTTATGTTTGCATCTAGTAAATATAATATAAAAGTTTATTAAATTAAAGTTGTGGAAGAAATCAATCAAAATGACTGTTACTGCTTAGCATGGAAGATGGGCAGGCAGCTTCAGACCCTGTAGCCCTAAACACTGAAAGGATGGGGCCCCCTCCCACAACACTGTTACAGGATAGCGCCTCAAAATGAAACGTGCAGCTGGCTCCCAACAAAACAGTCCAACCAACTTCTGATTCTTCCTACAATTGTTACTTTGTCCTTCAGAGTATGTTCGAAATATCAAATCCTTCCCACTACGTCTCTCTCTGTCATGCCCACGCCCTGCCAAACTCTCAGTGCGTGCCAGGTCTGTGTGCTGGGTCGCTCCCATGCTGTGGCACGGACAGGGCTGACCGAGGGAGGTGGGGGCCCGGAGACAGACACCCATCCCTGCAGAGATTCAGAATGACTGGGTCACTTCCGATACTGGAGGGGCCCCCCACCTGGTTCCACTGGCAGGAGAGGACCCTGTTGGCTCACAAGGACTCATCATGGAAGAGGGGCTCTGGCTGGTCACTGGGCTCAGCACTGAGATTTGGGGTGGAGTGAGGAGCCGGTGGCCCCTTTGATGCCCCTCTCCCACCTGAAGGCCAGATGGGGGGGTGGGGAACACTTACTAATAATGAGGCTAGGGCTCAGGCGCCCATCTTGGGCACCCCTGCCGCCTGGGCCCTGCAGAAAGCAAAGGCCACGGAGGGTGTGGGCCTTGCTCCACAGCGACGCCCTGTGGCAGCAAGGAGAAAGGCAGCTGGTTGGCTGCCCTTGCCTACCTTCTTCCTGCCAGATTATAGCAGCAGGATCCCCTAGCCCAGCGGTTCTCAACCTGTGGGTTGAGACCTCTTTGGGGGTCGAACGACCCTTTCACAGGGGCCGCCTAAGGCCATTGAAAAACACATATAAAACAGTCTCAACCTTCCTAATGCCGCGACCCTTTAATACAGTTCCTCATGTTGTGGTGACCCCCAACCATAAAATTATTTTCGTTGCTGCTTCATAACTGTAATGTTGCTACTGTTATGAATCGTAACGTAAATATCTGATAGGCAGGATGTATTTTCATTGTTACAAATTGAACATAATTAAAGCATAGTGATTAATCACAAAAACAATATGTAAGTATATTTGTGTTTTCTGATGGTCTTAGGCGACCCCTGTGAAAGGGTCGTTTGACCCCCAAAGGGGACCCCAACCCACAGGTTGGCGACCCACAGGTTGAGAACCGCTGCCCTAGTTCCTGGAACATTCAGGCAGGGGAAGTCTGGAGAGGGAGATGCTGGACTTCCTGCTAACTCGCATAGGGATGCTTGAGGAATTAACTAGAAAACAGAGGGCTCTGCATTTGCACCTGCAAGCAGGTCAGGCCTGCCCCACGCCCTCCCTCCCTCAGCCTCTCTGCAGCCAGGAGAGGTGTGTCCAGGCTGTTGTGGAGCCCCAGGTGCCCCCCACAGGCTCTGTGAGCATCACTGTGGCCCAGAGTCCCAGGCCCGTGCAGGGTTCCTGCAGAGGCAGAATGGGTGGGCATGGGTGCCCGGGCTACTGCCCCCTGCTCTGCATTCGGGGTGCTGGGGACTCCATGGGAGGCACTGTGGTCCCTGCCTCTGTGCTTGTTTCTTTTAATATTTTATTGATTTTTTACAGAGAGGAAGAGGGAGAGAGAGACATCCACTGAGCCAAACCAGTTACCGCTGTGCTCGTTTTCTCACGCCTCCCAAAGCTGTGACCTAGGCGCTCCAGCCCACAACACACACACACACACACACACACACACACGCACGCACACACACGCACACGCACACGCACACGCACGCACGCACACGCACACGCACGCACCTGCAGCTGAGGATGCACGGTGCCTGCCAGGTCCCCGGTCTCCGTGCGTGGGAAGTCCACGCTGCTCACTTTTCTATACGCTTCCATCTCAAAGGCAGGAAATGCGGTGCCTGTGTGGGAGGCTTGGTGCCTGAGCCCGTCCCTCCCTCAGGGCTGGCTCCCAGCCCACCCCAGAGCCTGGCTCCTCGGCCCCTGGGCCAGGCCCCCTCCTCTCAGGGCCTCAGTTGCCCGGCGAGTCCTGGGGTCTCACCCTGGTTGAAGAGCTGGATGAAGTCCAGGGCTGCGGCCACCAAGGCCCTCATCCTGACGAGAAGGTCAGCCCGCAGCACTCCCTGAGGCTGGGGGCCCAGCTCCAGGCCTGGGGACCCAGAGGGAAGGGGTCAGGCAGGTACTCCAGAAACTTGGGCCCTCTGGACCCCTAGACCCTGACACCGCCCACCACCTGCCCACCGTCTGGCCCCGCCCTTCCCAGCCACCGAGCTCTTCGACCATCTGGGCCCACCCAGTCCGCTCTTGGCCACGGAGTGGACGCTGTAGCTCTCTTCTCCGGGCAACTGGTACAGGAAGACCCGGGAGGGCAGCTCCGGGCTCTGCAGCTGTGA